GTTTCCACAGAAAATGGAAAGCTATGGATTCCTTCCAGACTAATATGGTTTGATCTAGCAAAACCCCCTGAAGCAGTGGCCCAACTAATTGAACTTACATCCAAAACAGCTGAGATGATGCATTCATAGACCACTACAGCCAGGATTTCTGTATTTTATCATGATCCCCATGGTATGGACATCGCCCCCAACCAGCAGGAAGCAGTTTGGAATGAACGACACCTAAATTTCCAAATATTGCTTATAAATGTTTTCATTTAAATGGGGTTGGTTATAAATGGTAAATGAATACTTTGCATTGGTATAGATTTTCATTTATTGATACAACTTTAAGGTCAATTTTGTGATATGTATATTTCTCCTCTTGTTTAGGTATTGTGTATATACAGATCTTTTAAAATGTAATGCATAATTAAATAAGACTATATAGTCACCTATAATAGTCAGAACTTATTATTAAGTTAGTTAGGTTTTCCAGATATACAGAGATGTATTTGAGATGGATAGATATTCTTCAAACCTTTCAAAGACCTACAGAATATATGGCATTTAAATGGTTTAGGGTTTTTCATGGCATTGAGAGACAACTGCTCCTGGCACACCAATTACTTCTAGAGGAACTCCTTGATGGCAGCATAGACCAAGGCAAGGAGCACAGCTCTCAGTGCTGACAGTAAACATACCCCTCCATCTTGGAAAGACAACAGCTAAAGCAGCTGCCGCTTAATTTTAGCAGTGCTGTTTAGCAGATAAAAGACCACATGGCCAGAAAAGGTAAAGATTTACAGTACAGACAGATTCAGAAGAGGATGAGGACGCCAATGGAAGGCATCCTAAATAAGATAAGTCTTGTAAAATATATAGATTTATGATAATTAAGACTGAGCTAACAGATGAGAAATCCTAGTCATTGGCCAAGCAGCATTTGTACCTAATAGAAGTCTCCCTAATGCAGTGAGTGGAACTCAAGCGGGTGGTGGAAAGATTTATCTTAACAGAATGGTGTCAGAAGTGGGATGACCCCATGCCCCAAGGTTCCCAGAGGAAGAGGGAAACCTGCCGCCACAACTTGCTTATGCTCGCGCTACCCCAGCGCTCTTGGGGGTTGGACTTGGCACTCCTGAGATGATAAAGACAGATCCAGATAAAGAAAAACCTCTAAAGGTTTACACTACATTTAAAAATATATGTAGGCTTGTGAGAAAAAAAAAGTAACAGGAGGAAATAGAGTAGCTGGGTATGGTGGCACACACCTTTAATCCCAGCACTCCAAAAGCAGAGGCAGGCAGATTTCCACCCTGTCTCAGGAAAAAAGAAACAAAAGAAAGTAAAAATGGAGAAATAAAAAAGCCATCTAAAGATGAAAAATACAAAGAGAGTCTGGATACTATATGCTACATTGTCTTTAAATTGTTTGATTGCTGAGGAAAGAGCAACAACTGCTAAAAGACATTTGATTATCAAAGCTGTTGAATTAATCCAATTTATATATTTTAAAAAGTGCTTTGACTTCAAAATTTAAGTCTAAGGACAGACTACTTGGGAAAAGAATTTCTGCTTTTTTTACACAGAAAATGTAAAGCTGTGGATTCCTTCCAGACTAATATGGTTTGATCAAGCAAGACCCCCTAAAGCAGTGGCCCAACTGATCCTACATCCAAAACAGCTGAGATGATGCAGTCATAGACAACTACAGCCAGGATTTCTGTGTCTTATCATGATCCCCATGGTATGGACATCGCCCCCAACCAACAGGAAGCAGTTTGGAATCAACGACACCCAAATTCCCAAATATTGTTTATGTTTGTTTTCATTTAAATGGGGTTGGTTATAAATGGTAATGACCACAGTCAATCTCTTTTTAAAGGAAAAAAGGGGAATAGGATATAGAAATGAATACTTTGTATTGGTATGGATTTTCATTAATTGATACAACTTTAAGCTCAATTTTGTGATATGTATATTTCTCCTCTTGTTTAGGTATTGTGTATATACAGATCTTTTAAAATGTAATGCATAATTAAATACAGACTATATAGTCACCTATAATAGTCAGAACTTATTATTAAGTTAGTTAGGTTTTCCAGATATACAGAGATGTATTTGAGATGGATAGATATTCTTCAAACCTTTCAAAGAGCTACAGAATATATGGCATTTAAATGGTTTAGGGTTTTTCATGGCCTTGAGAGACAACTGCTCCTGGCACACCAATTACTTCTAGAGGAAGACGGGCATCGAAGAAACTCCTTATGGAGTTTGCTTTCAACATAGCAAGATTAGCCATTTGGGCAAGAAACTGCTCTCGCCTTGTTTGTTACTGTATAAACTGGACATGCA